CAGTATTGAGTGGGTCACAAACGATACACTGCAGCTACAGCGGCTTGCACACGAGGCCGTCGGAGCCGGACAGTGGCAGGGCGCGTGCGATGATTATCCGCGAACGCAAAAGGGAGATCTTCTGGCAGTAATCGATATATCCAACAAGGAACACCCTGTGCTCCGAGCTCCCGCAGCGGCCGAGATGGTGAAGGAAGCAGAGCAAGCCGAGGAATCTCAGGACGAGGAACAAGGTATGGAGGAGCAAAGAAGCGAAGGAAGCGTCGAAGAGCGGAGTGAGGGCCTCAATGTGACAGGTCCAAGAGAGGAAAGAAAGGCCGAGTGGCAGAGGAATGACTCAATCCACGAGTCTTTGATGAGTGTCGAGATCCCGCGCGTCTCCTTGGAGCTTTCACATCGCTTTGCCGCTGCAATATGTTAGTGTCCTTATCAGAATTCGATAGATGTAGGAATCATGCAAACCCAGAAATGACGCGCATTGTCGGAGAGCACCACGAAATCTCATGGTGTGAGCATGCTGATAAACGCAGGAGCAACACGGCGCGCGTAGCAAAGATGCCACCAATGCAAGCGCAGAAGATGACGCGACGCGTGCCTCGGCTCTAGAGCGTTATCGATAAGGCACCCTCTAGCCTGGTACCCTTCACCATTACAATGCAGCCCCTCATAATTACCACAAATACCCTCCAATACATAGAACATTCAGATGCCGACAACGCGAGGCCAAAAGCGCGACGCAGAAATGGAAGCAGCACTGAAAATCTTCTTCTCGAGCCCGCGGTTTGCTGTCGCCGGCGCGTCTTCCGACCCACACAAATACGGACACAAGAGTACGCTAAGATGTCCTCTTCCAGTCTTACCTCATTCCCGTCATGTCTAATCCGATATCACAGTATTCGCATGGTATCTCCAGCACTCCCTCCCCGCAACGCCTTTGAACCCGCGGAATTCAAGTGTCACCGTCTTGAACCGTGCCCACACAACCGTGCCTTCGCCGACAGCTCTTCAGGACCCACCAGCATCCAGCTATTCTCTGTCAGTCATTACGCCACCTACAGTGACGAAGCAGTTGCTCAAAGAGGCGAAAGAGGCTGGAATTCCTGCTGTATGGCTCCAGCCTGGAAGTTTCGATGCCGAAGTTCTGGAGTACGCGAAAGCTAATTTCAAGGCGGCGATTGGCGGCAATGGTGGCAGGGGAGGAGAAGGGTGGTGCGTACTTGTTGACGGAGAGGAAGGAATGAGGTTAGCCGGAAGAGAAGCGTCGAGACTCTAGTACCGCGAAGGTCGACCGAGTAGGATGTCTTGCTTCTTAAGCTGGCTGTCCGAATTATTTCGATAATGTTTACGATCGATTGAGATGTACTACAATTCATAATAAGAACATATCATGTATTTGGCTAAATCAAGTTTGCCATCCCACGTCTACATTCATTGTCCTTCAGCCTTTCCTCCACGAACTCTCCGTTCCAAGCCAAGTCTCAAACCCCTTCATCTCCGGATTCATCCTCTTGCACTCCTCAATATCCGCGCCAAATCCCTTCTCTCGAAACCAATCGAACATGTACCCAAGCTCTTTCGACATCCAGCACAACGCCCCGGCGACAGATCGGTACGTCATCGGAAGCTTTTCACCCGTCTGCTTTTCGAAGATTCCCTTGAATTGCTGGAACGAAAGCGACTCTCCTGCTAACGACATACCCTTGTTTTGGTATACTGGAGTATCGTGCTTGAGGAACGCTTGGGCGGCGAAGAACCCAATGTCACTAGTACTGATAAGTTGTAGAGGTTTCTCCTTTGGCAGCTTGATCGCCCAACTCGTTGTAAACACCTTGCCGAAGAATTCTGGAGTCAGATTCTCGTAAAATGCTACGGGTCGCAGTACGGTATATGTCATGTTGCCTTTCTTGGATTCGGAGAAGAGGTGTTGCTCGATATTATGTTTCGTGATGAAGTGGGGGACGGTTGTCGGATCCGAGTCTGATTTTGCACCGCCTCGATCCGCAGAAGAGAAGACAAAGTGCGATACACCGTTCTTGATAGAAGCATCTACAAGGTCCTTTCCTTGCTTCTCTTCATTCTTTCCGAGCGCCTGTACGAGGATTCAGTAAAGCTCGACTGTCATTGCTGGAAACATGCTCACCTGAACACTAAAGACTCCCCAAATGGGCATCTTGGTGGACTCTCTCGCTGCCTTGAACATCTCGTCGGCTGCATCGAGGTTTCCAGTGACGAGTTTGATCCTCGACGACTTCTTTTCGAGCTTCTTGGAGGATGACGACTGGGCGTCCCGGGTGACTGCTAGGATTTCGTAGGGTGCGTTCGCTTTGAGCAAGGCATCAACGACTGAACCACCTTGTTTACCAGTCGCACCTGTGACGAGGACTGCTCTGAGAGCCATTGAGGGCTAATCGGATATTATTTAGTATGGTCAGGAGAAAGAGAAGAAGGTTGCGACTGTGTTCGATTGAGAGTTGAGTGATTCTTGCATCTTTTATGAACAAATCGTTCTGCTATGTCTATTGACATATGCGAAATCCAGCTCTGCTTAGCATTGCTCGTACACATGGTGTTGCGCACCGCGACCGTGCGAGTCGGCGGGTTGTTCGCCCGCTTCTGGCAGCAGCTGAGGCGAACGCCGCTGATTGGTGTTCGGCCTTCCGAACAGCGAACGCGAGGCGGCTTACGGGATCGATCTGCCCAACTTCTATCCGGTCGCAGCTCCGTCGCATCGTTCAAGCAAAGGATGCATCAATAACTGAGTGACTGTTCTGTGACTGGCCGCACATCAAAGCGCGAAAAAGGGTATATATCTGCTAGAAAAAATCGATCTTAACTTCCCAACATGGCGTGCATCATATCAACAAGCCAAAGACATTTACATCTCCTTCGCGACAGCCTCCAGGGACTCCTTGAAGATGTTACAAGCCTGGCTCAGCTCCTCCTCGCTGATTGTGAGTGGCGGAATGAATCTCAGTACGTCGAACACCGAAGTGCTGAGGAGAAGCATGTCTCGCTTGACGCATTCCTGCACAATCTTGGGCGCAATTTGTGGCTGGCTCTGAGCATGTTGTGCAGCAGTATTCGATGAGTCGCGTTGTAGTTCTGGGTTTGCAAACTGGACACCGACCATGAGACCCGATCCGCGAACATCTTCGATCAAGTTACCGGCCTTGGTGCCAGAAGCTTTGAGATCGCGGAGGAACGAGAAGATCTGCTTGGAGCGCGCGGCGACGTTGTCCAAAATCTTCTCCTCGTGGAATGCTTTGACTGTGGCTGTTGCGGCGGCGCATGCGACTGCATTACCCGCATATGTGCCACCCATGGATCCTGGTTTTTGGAGATCCATGAGCTTCTTACTGCTCGCAATACCGGATAGAGGGAACCCGTTCGCAATGCCCTTTGCGAAGATGAGAATATCTGGTCGTACACCAGACTCCTGCACAAACCACATGTGTCCCGTGCGGCCCATACCAGATTGGACCTCGTCAGCGATAAAAAGGACGTTGTGCTCATCGCAAATCTGCCTGACGCCATGTAGGAACTCGGGTGGTGCTGGGACATAACCTCCCTCACCAAGAACGGGCTCCAGAATGACAGCTGCGGTATCTGCGGGAGACGTCTGCTGCTGCAAGGTAAGCTTCAATTGGAGCAGTGCCTGGCTCACGAGCTGCTCCTTCGGTGTGTCTGGAGACATGCCGAACTGGCTGTAGTATGGAAATGCGGACGCAAAGACGCCACCCATCAGAGGTCCATGGCCTTCGCCGTAGATAGTCTTGGATCGCGTCATCGAGGCTGTCGCGTTCGTGCGGCCGTGGTATGAGCCCTGCATGACGATGATGTTCGGCTTCTTCGTCGCGGCACGGGCAAGTTTGACGGCTGCTTCAACGGCCTCTGCACCCGAATTCCAGAAGAAGACGGTATCGAGCGATTCGTGGGGAAGTATCGGAATCAGCTCTTTGAGAAGAGCGATCTGTGCGGAGCTGAAGCCAATGTTGACTTGGGCGTGTGTGATCTTGTTGCATTGTGCCGCTGCGGCAGCGCTGACTTTGGGGTGGCAGTGACCAAGGTTCACAACACCAATGCCGGCCGTCATGTCAAGCAGCTTGACGCCCTTGTCCGTGGTGATGAATGTGCCCTTTCCATCTTCAAAGACATGCTTGGTGAGGCGGCCAATGCCCTTTGCAATGTGCTGTTCGCCAAATGCTGCTGTATCCATCTCGGAAGACGCTGGTCGTGTAGTAGAGAACGGTCGTCGAGGGGTTGGGGCGTGTCGCGGAAGAGTGGGTACGAGGTTGCGTGGAGCTGACAAGCAGCGTCTGGATACCGTGGCGGCCTTCATTATGTATCTTGGGGATTGTGCTGCTGCTTTCGACTGCCGTGTAGGTCAAAGTGGTGGGGTTCGGGTTGAGGCGGCCTGACGTAGCTAGCACGCTTATCGCCGAAACTAGACGCCCTACACGCGTTCTTATGACCTTCACGATCATTTGCGACGGCCAACAACTCACTCACTTCGCTTCTACTAACTTCTTTAGGTAATACAAGAGACCGTCTGCCAAGACTTCTTACTCAACGACAAATTATCTACACGCCCCACACGCCTGAGATATTGTCTGGTAATCGGCCTGCAGCTGTTGTTTGAGCAGAACTTTCCTGTTGCTAGGATAATACTGATGCCTCTATCGAGCCTGCGGCAAATACACAACCACACATAGCAACTACGCCGAGGTGCACTATCTGGGCGGACTACATAGGTCTACGGTTCCCGTTCGAACGTAGAACGTACGATCAACACAACCTATGAGCTTGGAAGACACCGAGATCTTTCTGGTCTAGCCGGTGGTTCAGATATGAACCTTCTCCGCAGCCGTCACACGTCTATCCTGCACTTTTCCACGCCGGCTCTGATAAGTGTACAAAGTATATCATGAGTCTACCGCGCTCGCTATTACTACCTAAGACTCGCGCTCATTTCACTTTGTTCTCATCATAAGCAAACAGTCTCAGACGTTGCTTCCTTCCTTACGATCCCAAGCCATAGGCCCCGGGTCTCGAGGACCTCCAGCAATGACCGAAGTTACTGTGAACTTCGTCTCCTTTATGATATTCTTCTGAGAGTCTCCATCACTATTATCGGCCTCGTCGTTGTCGCCCAAGGTCTGGAACGTGTCCATGGCTATCACGCGGGAGCGCGAGGTGGGCTGCCGATTGTTTATTCCAGATTGGTATGCTTGTCCGCCAGATGCATCAGGAGTATTGGAGCCGGCGGATACCCTAATGCGCAGGGATAGGAGAGGGCGAAGAGGAGGTAGCGAACCGGCGATGAGGCCAATGCCGACTTCGGTCAAGGACCAGAAGCCGATTTTGCCCGTACTGTACATGAACTCGCCAGGGTCACTGTAGAGTGTGAGGTACTTGAGGCGGACGATGGTAGCACATGAGGCACTGAGTCAGGATTAGTTCTTGATACCATAGCATGAGGGATCGTCAAGGCCTTACAAAGAAGCGAGCGCAAGCATGACAGCAACTGAAGCTTTCACAGCTCCCTTCATCTGGACATTCCAAAGCAGAATAGCCGGCATGATCGAGAGACTAAAGTCTGCAGTGATCTCGATGGCTGAGTAGAATAGACTGACATTCGTATTGAGCTGAAGGTTGCAGGTGCCATTAGATTCACCCCATAGCGTGTTGATCGGATGGCCAGCAAAACGTTAGCGACAATATTTCCTACTTGTAGAACAAGTCAACTCACAGATATTTGCAATTCCTATGCAGAAGACTAGAGCAGCAACCATGGTAGCACCTATCAGCGCCCATAAAGCCCATGTGAAGAAGCGACGACCAACAGCGATGCGCAGAAGCGCTACTGCAACACTGATTTTGACGAACATGGCGCTGACTGCGTAGAAGTACTCTGCGATGTAAAAGAGCTGAACACAGTGAGTATGGACTCTATAGCATTTCGTCGATAGGGAGTATGTACCTTTGTTCCTTTGGATATTGTCACCGTGGGCAGCTCTCGTGCGAACTGTCCAGAGCCATAGTGGCAACAGACGATGCAAAGAGCAGCTGTCACTGAGAAGAGAATCTGCAATGAACTATCAGTTGGCTTATCACATGCTGGTGGTGCTGGGCACTTACAGTTCCGACGAGCATGAAGTAGTCATCCATGCCCCACGCTTTCCTCCACATCCGTACCCCGACTCTCATGGAGAAGACGATCCAACTCAACACGAGCAATATGATTGCGCAGTACAACAACGCCACTCCATCTCTGGCCACTTCGACAGTCGTCATGTTCCTTGCGCAATGTTGACAAACGTATCAGAGACCGAGAAATGAAGCAAGCAGATGACGAACATGAGACCGGTGGCAGCTCGCCAGATGACATATATTGGACGTTTCATCTCTACCACTGTACCACAGGAGAACCCCAATTTTCTGTCGACTCATGTCGTGGATCGTGAGCCGTGCAAACAGGGCCCTCGTGTTACGTCCTAAGGTCGCGGGCGCTAGACGTAAAGGGCTTCGTCTAGATCGGATCTAATGTGTCAACTGTCCGCGGAGGATGCCCTCGGGAATAGCTTAGTGTATAGGACTGCCGCGTGGTCCGAATTGTTTACGTTTTCTCCGACACGTTGCTTTGTGGAAGCGAGCATCAATGGAGCATGGTCCCACTATGGGCTGCGGCGTCGTGAAGAGGAGCTACCCGCATCAAAGAAGCCTTATGCGTACCAGACTTGCTATCCATCTAAATCGTCGAAGTACCCGCGAGGCGTTGGTGACCCCTAGTGACCGGTACATGGGTGGCAGGTGTCGTGATTTTCTTCCCCTGTCGGGCCGTTGCTAGCTTAAGTGGGTCTTACAGCTGGTCCGCCCATGGGCTCGGTTCCAACACTGGCCGGCGCCACGCTCAGACTGCCTGATTAGAAAATGTTCGTCCCAAGACGGCAGTAAAGTTGGGTGGTCACCTGGTTCAGGCGATTACCATCACGCTTCGGATCTTGACTGATAGATGCGTAGTCGCGCGAGTGTGTTATGATGTTGATTGAGCAGCTTCAAGGTCGCGGTTGGCTTGCTACGAGCGGAATCCTTCCCTGCGATGAAAAAAACGGGCCCCGTACGAAGTCCATCCCGAGCTCGCTGTGTTCCTTGTAAATCTCCGGCAGCTTCTCAGATTTCGTTTGAGATGATGTTTCTGGGCCCAGAACACGGGTAGCCTCACAATGCCAGCCCATGACTGTTCCAAATCAGTGCGCTCTTGCATGAGCTCGAGCTGATGCGCAAGGGCCCCGATTATGTCTGCATATTATCCTCTTCCTTTCTGTATTTTGCTGAAACTTCCATCTGTTTACTCTCACCATACCTAGCTCCGCCATGGCATCGTTCCAAATCCAAGACTCTGACCTGACGGGATTTCAGGGCAAAGTTGCCGTCATAACAGGTACCTTGATTCGGCCCAATCAACTTTCAGGTTCCAGAACACTGACAATGCCGTAGGTGGGTCGTCTGGTATTGGCCTCGCCACAGCAGAGCTACTGCTCTCTCTAGGCGCACTAGTTGTGACTGGTGATATTCAGGCACCACCGGCGTCTGTGGCTGACTGTCACTTTGTCCAAATCGACGTCAGGCGCTGGAGCGATCTAACGAAACTATTCAAGGCCGCGAAAGAAAAGCACGGTCGTGTTGACTTTGTATTTGCGAATGCTGGAATTGGGCCACGCGCAAATTACTTGGCTCTCGAAGTCGATGAGAACGGTGACCCCAAGGAACCAAATGATGACACCTTGGACATCAATCTGGACAGTGTTGTCAGGACCGTGACACTCGCTACCCATTATCTGAAGGGCCAGGCCGAGGGGGGGTCCATTGTCATCATGGGGTCCAGCACCGGCTTGCATCCCGTCCGAGCAGTTGATTATTGTGAGTAACAGTTCGTCGATCACGTTTGAATTTCCGACTAACAGCACGACTCAGCGACGGCCAAAGCGGGTGTTCTAGGCTTTGGTAGGAGTTTCGCGCTGTTGGTGAAGGCTGCCGGTCTGCCTATTCGCGTCAACACTCTCGCCCCTTCATGGACGGCAACTCAGGTCTTGCCCGATTTGAAAGGCTTGCTAGATGCGGTTTCGTACAACTGCCAGCCTACTTCAGTCGTTGCCCGAGCAGCGGCCTACTTGATGGTAGACAAGTCTCGTCACGGAGACCTCATCTTTGCCTGCGACGGAAAATACACAGAGATCGAGAAGGCTGTGCTTGCGCCGGCATATGCAACTGTCAAGGGAGACGGATTAAGCGACGATGATGTCCTGGCGAAGGTCTTGGCGCTGGGTAGCTAGACATCCGACTGAATCAACGAGCAAATTCTGAAGTATTGAAAACGGATTTAACATGGATGATGTGAGTTGAACGATCGGAGAACCATAATCTGGAAGGGGGACGAACCCCTGCCAAGATTGTGACTGGTATACCCCTTCGGGTTAGATTGTCACTAATGATGTCATGCTGGCCAAAACCGAAATCACTTGTTCCCGAGGTCTGCTGTATTTCTGCTGAGGCATCAACCACTATTTGACGTGACCGTAACGCGCTATCTGAGTCTAAACACACTGACTGTAGTAATCGCCGTTGGCTTTGCACGTCGACCCACTCGCACAGCCTGTACATCCACTATAGGTTTTCCCGCCACACTGCCCATACTTCGCAACTTCGCATATGGGCGCAGCCGGTACTGTGGGCGTAGCAGATGCGCTGGTCATCATGGTAGTGGGGGAGGCTGTGGCTGTGGGTGCAGCGGTGGGTGCAGCAGACGGCGCGGGCGCAGAACCGCTTCCATCCCAAACAGCAGGGCCAGGGACAGGATAAGTGGTTGCTTGCTTGGCTTCAGGGGAGTCAATGTTGAAAGCAATGCCAGGCTCTGTTCCAGTGTAGGCGCCCGGGAAAGAAACGAGCGCTGATGCGGGAGGAGAGGCTGTACCCGATCCTGTCACGGTGAATTGGGCGCACTCGGGATAGACTGGAGAGTATCAGCTTGAGCATCGGTATGGCAATGTGGAAAATTGGCTCACATTGCGGGTTGTTCGCCTGATGTACAGCGATGAGCTCATGGCGGATCAAGTAGTCACCTGCTGCAAGTGTAGCCGGGATAGTGACTGTGGCATAGAGAGTGTCGAGGATGGCATCACCTGCCCATATGCCGTCGTTTTCAGTCCCGGATATGAGGCCTTGCTCATATATCTTAACTACATCGCGGTCCTGTTAGAGATGTAGTCCACTTAAGGGATGTGTACTTACACCACACTTTACCAGCTCCATCGAAGCCGTCACAAGATCCCGGACATTTGGCCATGTATACAAGAAGAGAGGTCGGCCTGTGAGTCCATTGCTTCCAGTGTGTCTTCAACTTGGCACCAGCGGCAATGGTGCCAGTCATGCCTGTACCGAGAGCGCCGTTGTTGTTGCAGCGGATGTTGACTGTCTAGAATAAGTGAGCTTTTGGTTGATGTACGCTTTTGTAGGGTCGTACTGAGAGATCTTTGATGTACATGGGGTCGTAAGTCGAGTACTGTCGCTGAATGGACTTTTGACCTGAAGCTGAGTTGTACGGTGACCATCTTGGAATTGTCAGTACATGGGAAGAGTGCGTGTGAGAAGGTGATGTACCCTTGGTAGGTTGTGTCTCCTACAATATACTGATCGACTCCTCCATGAGCGGTCGCAGTTGCAACCAAGGAAGCAACCGCCGTCAATGCCGTGTAGAACTTCATTATGATGTTGTAGAGCAAACTAGAGGGACCGATATTAGATAGCAAGTCGATGCGCAAAGATGGGCGGTGGTACAAGCAGAGAGTGCACCTTCTCATATACTTTCCGTTTGCCCCCGTAAGCCACACCAGCGCGTATCGCGTGAGAAAACCGGGTATTGTGTTGCCTCTAAGATGCAAATCTCCACGCGTACCGTAGATTGATGTTTGATACTAGTCCATATGCTTGGTCCGTCACAGCCGCATGGCATCTCGACCTCTGGAGGAGTTTGTGCGACCGGGCCAGATCTGGGCAATACTGCATAACCCGATCAATGGGCCAATGGTGCGAAGAAGCACGCTCGACTTTTGTGGTAGTCTCAACGGAGCAGACAGCCGTTGGGGAATGCATAGATGAAGTGCGCAGGGATGTAAATAGCCGGAGGTCACATTTCGCGGGGAAAACGGTAGCGTGTACCTATGACTTGAATGCTTTGTATATGAGGTATGGGTCATCTATAATTTAGGATGATCTTGATCACACATGGCCGCTGCTTGTTCGACCATAAGATATGAAGCTCAGAGCTTGAGTATCTCATCGGGTTCGTTAGCGACAGCATCACAAGGGTTGTGAAAATGGGCTGCACGCGCAAAGTGTAGCAAAGACCTGAGTGTGAAAGTATTAGTATACGGTACTGATTTGAAGAGCCGCTGGCTGGAGAGAAGACCATACCTCGCTTATGCATGGGTGGTCAGAACACAATACGTCACGGTGGGGTCTGCTATGTGTGGTCATTCAAATGAATCGTGAGATGTACGGAGCGCCCGGTCAATATAGACCCATCGAATACGCTGAGCCGAACGAAAACCTGGTCGAGGGCCTTAGCCATATGTATAGCGTGTCAGCTCCAGGCTGGACCTGCTCGTTTGGCGCAACAGGAACTGTGAACAGTGGGCATGATTTCGTAACAGCATATGTCGTCTTCTTCGCTGGTAGAAGCAGACGAAAGGCCAGATTGGAGTAATGGAAGGATTGTGGAGCTAATCTGGTCGCCTGACAAGACGATAGAGTGTTCAATAGCGTGATGCATGGATGCCCACCGTCAGATAAGCATTCACATCTCGCGGGACGCTATACTGAACATAAAGTCAGGATGAATAGATGAAATCTGATCCGAGCGCCAGGTCCGGAAAGAATTGCTCAAGCACATGGCAAGCGCCTAGATGTATCGCAGCTGTTGCCCCGGGTGTGCTGAAGCTGGACTGTCAGTCGCTGTCCATGTATTAACAGAGTCGTGAACCAATGTGCGAGAAGGAATTGATAATAGAGAGAACACTTTTATGCAATACCTAGTTCCTTCACCCGTAATAGTGTGTTCCGAGCCCCTCATATGTGCTCAATAGCCAAAATTGCAAGACAAAAACCAGAACGACAAAGGGCACGAGAGCTCAAGCCGAGAGGTACGCAGACCCTGCCTTTCCCACTTCCTCAGTAGCCAGTAGATGCATCGCACCATATATACCTTTTGGTGAGATGTCGAAAAGATGTGTGACATCATCGGCCAGATTCGAAGCTGCTGTAGATCGCAAGTTTCCAACCAGATGCTCATTTCCCATAGACAGTCACCTCGTCTTTTGTACCAGGCATGCGCCAGATCGAACTACTGTAAGTAGCAATTAGCGTTGCGCTCTTGGAGCGTGACAAGGAGCTCGTAGAAGTCCTTCCTCCAGTCAACGCACTCAAGGTACTCCCACCAGAGGCGAAGTGCAGGCGCCTCATCCATATCAGACTGCAATCGATCAGCTTTGAACTACTCATACAATTCAACATGACTTACCGCGTCAAACGCCTCAAGGATAGACTGCTTCTTGATCATAGCGGTCTTCATGTTGGCCTCACGCTCCCACTCACGAAGCTCTTCAACGTACTTGCGCACGTCTTTGGTCAGTTGCTTTGTGAGCACAACCTCCTCCTCAGAGTCAACAGTGGTTTCGTGATCCGGTGCAGCGAAGAGACGGCCGCTGTACTCCGGCTTGCGAAAGAAATGCTTCTTGAGTTCTTCGGTAACCCACTTCTCGCGCGTCGATGAGGTGAGTTCTTCAGCCCAGTACTCCTTGACGTATTGAGGTACTCTAGCCGTCATGGTGTCATAGTCCAGCTTATCCGACCAGCGTGTCTGCGAATAATTGCCGTAGTACATATAGCGCTTTCCGACGAGAACGAACATGGGCACATCCTCGTACGAGTTGGAGTCTTCGTCAAGTAGATCACCGTATTCTTCTTCTGGGGCCTTGTTGAAGAAGGCAGTGAGCTTTGCACCGTGGTCGCCAGGCGCCTTGGGCAGGTAAGGTTCATTCTTCGGATCGAGCTGGTAGTATGTACGATTCTTCAGCATGCATGGACCCTTGCCTGAGATGAAACGCAGGCCAGGTGACCAGGAAGCTCCACCCAAAGTGTTGGCGAGAAAGTCAGGATGGAACGTGACGGTGGCGTTGCCTGTGGAAAGTTGACCGGAGAACGCGGGCAGGGTTGTAAGATGGTAAGGCTTCCACGCTGCATCCAGAGAAACGCCTTCGATGGACAGGGCGGGATCTTGGACGGAAATTAGTGGTGAAGCAGGTGGGCTTAAAGCAGGTGTGGGGATCTGCTTGGAGACGACATCGACTTGATGGGTGTTGGTGGTGCGGGTACTTTGTCCTTGTCAGCTTCAAGTAACTCCAAAACTCGTCCATGCATCTAAGGATACACTCACACTTGGCCAATGGTAGACTCGAGCTTTTTACCTCGCAAATGCGGAGGCAGAGATGTCTTGACTGTACCGCTGCTGGTGTCGCTGGAAGTCCTGAGATGGGGAGGTGTACTGCTGCACACCTTTTGTACGTCAGCGCCACCGTTTACAGATCCCTGAACCTCTTCCTTAAGTTTCTCCAGCTCGATCCCGAACTCTACGGCGCTTTGGTGTGATTTCTGTACATCCACCTCTTGGAATGGGCCAACATGTACCGGCCAACCGCCCTTCTTGAGCTTGTCGACGGACAATGAGAGGCCATGGTACATCTCTTGGAGAGTGTCGATGTCTGCGCGTATCTTTGCATGCCCCTCTTCCAGGTTGAGAGTCCTTGCCTCCAAGTATGGAGAGGAAGGGGTGCTCACCTGGCTGGGCGCGCCGTGCCGAGAACCGGTTGGAGCGAAGTTGTTGGCCGCGGGGTTCATCGTGTAGCTGATGTTGTGGAATCGCTGCGAGTGTTGGCCGTGAAGGACTGGATCGCGATTAGACATTGTACTACGAGAGTACTAGACTTCTCCAACCAGGATGACTTGTAGCTCTTGGGTACTCGGAGTTGTTGAGACTGCAGGAAATTGTCAGCTTGAGGTGAATCTAAGAGTAAGAGACTCAAAGTCTTACCGTAAACCGATGTGCTATCGTTGTGAGATGGTGTGATCAAGTGAGACGTGCTGGAAGTTATATGCTGGGGACATATAATATAGAAAGGAATGGAGGAGGGACGGTTGGAAACCTCGGAAGACTTCTTTATATAGGCCACAGATGAGAGTCGTGGATCTGGGAAACAGAGGCGGTGGCATAGCGGCAGCTCTATGCTATCTCAGGTAAAAGAGATGAGGTTGCGGTGATGCCGGGGTGGTGGTGTCTGCAGACGAGAATGAGGTGAAGTTCATCCCATCGAAGATACCGGTAGGACATTCAAGCTTTGTGCCATTGCGTTGATTACGCAAGATCTTGGGAAGTGTTTGGCACTATACACATTCCTCACGGCGCTGGTGGGATGTCGCTGGGCACTAGACATGTCACGCCTTACCGAGAATGTGGTTGCTGCTTTGCACTCAAGTGAAAGTTTATCGCAGGTTCTATCCAGGCCCAGAGTCGATGTGGGCGTTACTGGGCTCTCTAGGAGTTTGATGCTTGTCAAGCACGTATCATCTACCTACCCTTACAGTCAGACTATAGCACTAGCTTCGCGCCTCGACTGTGCTCAGAATTGACACGGATTTATCTCAAGTCTAATACCTACGCATTGGTCCCCGTTGGATATCGAATTGAGCTAATCGTGAGAGGCGGGTACCTCGCTTCCGAGCTCTTCCCGACTCCGTCAACATCTTCTCTTTCCCCATGCTCTGGCATCCACTCGCAACGACGTCGGCAAAATTTCCTGGTTCTGTGGCCCTTCGCTTATCGTGGTTCCAGTTTGGCTCTTGGTACCCCGCGCTCACGAGGTCGACGACTACGCTGCAGAGATGCGCGTCCAAAGGCCCAACGACTACAAGTCTTACTTTCCACCGAAGTGCTGCGAGATGTTGAAGTCGATGGGGCGCGTCAGAAACGCGCAGCTGCGAGGTCAACTGTGAGATCACCGCCCGAAGTCCGCTCTCTTCATATCAGGCGCAGACTCAGGCATCAATAGGCCTATGTGCAGCATCGAGTTGTATCTGCGAGTCGTGGGTCGGCGCACATGGACAAGTAGCTGGTTCCGACTCGGGGTGCACTACGCGCGTGACCGGGATGGTGAGGGGAAGCCGCGGAGCGACACGCGACATACGCGACACAGCGTGAAGCAGGCGACGGCACCAGGCATGCTCGTCAATTCCGTTGGGGGGATAGAGCGACAGTCTTGTTCAACGACGAAGTATCATGGGACGAACATGTCGTCGAGATTGGGAGGAGCTCGCGGTAGATGGCCTAATGCAGGGGAAGGGAAAGGAGGACCCTGACCGAGAAGCGCGCCAACGTCATTGCGCGCTTGGGCCTTGGCCGTCATTTTGCTCTCCATCTCGCTGGCGACCAGCACTCGACCACTGCATGCTGACTTTGGCCAAACACGGACAGGCCCATCTACCTTCAGAGCAAGCGCCAGCATCGTTCCTTCTCTGTCAAAACCCGCCATTGGTCCTCCAGCATGCCGCCCAAACGCACCCAAGCCCACGACGAGGCGCACACGTCGCTCAAGGACAAACTACAGAACCTCCAGGGCTCGAACGCGCGGGGCGGTCGTCGCAACGGTGGTGC